ATAATAAGTTCTTAATTTAGCTTGGTGGTTGATTGCTCCTCATTAGGTCCAACAAATCTCTAGTTTAAATCCTATGGAAAGCATTTTTTTCTATCAATAAAACGATGTCGTTTTGGGATTTATAAGCATCAAAATAGTTGTGCTAGAATAGCGTCATTTTCCTAAGATGACCACGCCAATAACATCACGGCACACGAAAACCATGTCATCGTCCTGTTAGATCAATAACGACGGAGTGACATAATTGCATTTAAAAGTAAACATTAATGCTAAAATTGGCAAAATTGAAAGTTTGTTGATATAAACGAGGCAACGCTTAAAATTTTGTAGTATTTGGTGTAGTTTACCCTTAAAAATTATAGAGGAGTATTAAACAATTATTATAAATTATATGAAAAAAATATTTTTTATCTCTTGTTCGGGTCACAAGTTTTTACCCTCCATCAAAATATCACTCGACCCAATGTAATCATATATAAAACACAACTCAAACCCGTCCTGAATACGATTTTATTAAAAGCCGACCATATTGAGTTGGAACCCTCTAATGCACATCTTTAGAAATACAATTTTAAAAGACTTAATAAAAAATTCATACACTATATATATTTTCTTATTTAGCTGCCTAAACTTTTTTTGGTCAATAGAGGTGCCTAATGTTACCATCATTTTATGTGTCTCGACCATATTAGACGTTAAACATGTGTTAATATAAAAATAAGTGTCAAAATTATATTTAAAGTTAATTTTAAGTGTCTAAAATATTTTTCGGTCAATAGAGAGTTAGCATTACCACCATTTAATTGCCTCGACAATAACAGATGTTAAAAAATAGTTTAATGTAAAAAACATTACACTTGTAGGTGACTACGTAGTAATGATTAGAGAAACCATTAGTTGCATATGGGCTCGCAAGGATGACTTGGACCAATACAACGGATCTTATCCTTTATGAGGATGTTCCAGCGGGAATTCGAATGGATGTCGAGATTGAGGCGATTCATATGACATAGTGGCCTTCGGCCATCCTTGTATTCAAAAAAATATGAATTATTAAAAACCGTTGATGATAACTTATTACGCTTTATTATTTCATGGTAAATTATATTATTTTTCACTGAACTTTATTTTCTCTCTTATTTCACTCATCGTACTTTTAATTTTTTTAATTTATTTATTGAACTTTACATATTAAAAAGTACGTTGAATAAAATAAAAAAGAAAAATTTTTAGTGATGAACGATGTAATTATCCTTATTTCAATGATAACAATTGAATTGTTAAAATATCCCCACCAACCAAATGAATAGGGATGGCAATATAACCCGAACCCGACGGGGAAACTCGAAATCCGGTCAAGTTCGGGTCGAGTTGAATGATATCGGGTCGGGTTCGGGTTTGAGAATTTTTTTCGAGTATTTTTTCGGGTCGGGTTCGGGGCAAGGTATCACTGCCCCTACCCGATTATATATATATATATATATATATATAATATTTTATATTTTATATTTTATATATTAATTATATATATAATATTTTATATTTTTTATATTAATTATATATAAAATATTTTCGGGTTCGGGTTCGGGTTCGGATTTGGATATAATATTTAGGGTCGGGTTCGAGGACGGGACAAAAAAAATCTCTGACGGGACACCCCGATAAAAAACTCGTCGAGGATCGGATCGATGATTCATTTCGGGTTTAGGGACGGGATGAACAAAACCCGCCCCAAACCCGACCCGTTGCCATTCCTACAAATGAAGTTGCTATTTGATACGGCATGAGCATAATTCACAAGGCAGCATGTAAGATTTTTACTTTTAAAAAGGTAAAACGATTTGGTAAAAAGAGTCAACATTTACCATATTAACAATGACATAAATATCTGTGGAGTGGTTGTTTCAACAGTAGTAAATGGGCATCGTACAAATCCCACTTAGAGCGAATGTTCAATTTTGTGCCTCTGTTGGTTCCACGTTATGCTCCACCCACCCTACTCTTCTCGTTTTTTTTCTCCCAGGAATACCGCTTGTCCGCTCAACAAAAAAAAATGTCATTTCGATATGTTATAAGTAGGAGTATTGAAAAATACCCGTTCCGAAGTATCAGACCCATTGATTCGATATAAAATTATTAGATATCTTAGAGTTAAATGTTTGATTTTGCGAGTTGGGTACCCAGTTTGTTATTTTTAACTGACTTTTGGGTTAGACTCCAGTTACAAAATTACTCTTAACAGGGTAAATGCTGATCCATCGGTCCGATTTCTCTTTTCTCTTTTATTATTATTTTTATTTTAAATTAGATTTTTCATTTCTAATTTTAAAATTATCTTATCCAAATATTATAAATCTATATTTTTTTTTCAAATTATTTCACTTTAACATTTAAATTATTTCTTTTATTAATCTGAGTTTCTGTTGAAAGTTAACTCTTAATCATTTGACATTGAATGCTCACACCCATAATATTTCTGGTGCTCGAACTTAAGACCCAAAAATACGTATACCCGACTTAAGGGTACCTGCCTCTTACAGACCGGGTCATGGGCTGAATTTTTCTGACCCGAGAATCTCGGGTACACGACATTTAGAGTATCCAAAAATACGAATACCCTGATTTAAGCACCCCTAATTATAAGCTAGAGTATATATTTATCATTTCGTCCTATTACATCCTCACCACCTAGTTAGGAATAGATTGAGAGAGGGTTGAGATGTGATCGCACGTTTTAAAATCTTTTAGGTTAATGATTGATCATTTTCGTTTAAATTTTATATATTTTTTCTCACTGAAAATTTCAGGGTTAAAACATTTTGGATTTATAAAAAAATCATAATTAATATTTTATCTAAAATTTTAAGATTAAAATAAAAATTAAACCACTTTACAAACGTGTCACGTCATCATACTAAAGTCATATTAAAGATCACATATCGAGTTTTTTCATCAATAACATATATTATCATTGTTGACATAATGAAAATGGCCTCAAATGCTATAACCATAACCCTCCAATCCGGAACTTGTAAATAAATCCTTGAAGAAAAGAGATTGCCAAGTTTTGAAGCTCCTCCTAATTAGTACTCCGATATCCATCCAATATCTTAATAGTAAACTTGAATTTGCTCGCTGCTCATAGTACAAGCACGAAAATACTTAATATTACCAACTGAAAATATTTTTTTAATATTTTTATCCTAATTTAATAAGTGTAAAAATAATTTATCCTAAAATTAAACAACCTTTCAACTATTTATCATTTTATCACACAATCAATTGAACCTTCAAATGATCATTTTTGTTGAATTAAGCCCTTCGTATGGTCTGGCTCAGAGCCAATCCTAAATGAAGTCCATTGATGAATGCTTCAATCGATCCAACGGTCCAAAGTCCGAAAGAACATAATTTAACAGTCAAGTATAGAGCTCGGAGGAAAATTCAAGGCTTTTTGTCTCTCAAGCACAGCCAGCTGCCAGATCTGCTAAGCCAATCCATTAATGAAATAAATCCAGATTTTTAGAAACTATAAGCTTTCTTCTTCTTCTTCTTCTTCTTGGCAAATAGAGAATAGAAAATTCTTTTAGAAGGAAGCCGGCAAGCTCAGAGAACAAGTTGCCAAGCAGCAACAGGCAATTCACGCAGCGAAAAAAAAAACAGTTATAAATAACTTCAGTCATGGTCTACGTCGAAATCCGGGATTTGAATGCACCACCGTTAAATATGTCAGACCATCGTTAATCATCGTGAACCAGCACGAACCACCGTCGATATTTCGCACTTAATTATACGAAATCTAAAACCGCCAAGGATCTTTTAACACTCAAAACCTCACTTAAATGGTTTATTGTTTTCCAACTCTCTGAATATAAAAATGCTTAATGATTTTGTGCTTAGAGACTTTAGCTGTATCTCATTTTATAGTGTGGTTTGCTCATCAAAAACCATGAAATTTCATGTCATATCCCATGTCGATAAAAAATGGAATTGCACAGCGTGGGAATGTGCAAGGCATGATTATGAACCACTTTAATGGGCAGCAATATCATTAACTTGCTTATAGCAGTTCTATTTACTGCTTACATACCCTTCATTCTCTCTCTTTTAATTTGTTTTTCTGGTTTACATCAACCTATTGAATGCCAGTGACACTTTAACCAATAAATTTCATATAAAATTATTTTATAATATTCTCTCGATTAAGAGGGAACAAAATATTGTAACTCTTCTAAAAGATTGATTTCTGTATAATTATCTTTGCATCTCAGGATTTCTAGAGAACTTCTTGCCGTTAAAACCATTGAAGACCATGTCTGGATACAATGACTCAGAGCCTTTGCACCTCTCTCGAAATGCCACGACTTCTTGACATGATCATTGGTATTTTATGTCAACTATTAGAGTTAAAATATTGTTACTTGACATGATCATTGGTATATTTATGTCTTCTATTAGAGTTAAAATATATTGTTAGCCTACGAAAAATATCATGACTTTATGTTTCACATCACCTGTTATAAAATTTCTCGATCAAGATTAAGAGAAAAATTAGGACATTTCTCTTCACTAATCATTTTACTTCAAGATATAAAATCCATCACAAATGAACTATTGCATTATTACTAATCACAACTCAGCATTCAAACTAGAGAATAAACAGAAAATGAGGGATACAATCAATGTGTTCCATCAACAATATTATTACTATTGCATTATTACTAATCACAACTCAGCATTCAAACTAGAGAATAAACAGAAAATGAGGGATACAATCAATGTGTTCCATCAACAATATTATTAAACGTACAACTTAAGTTTTGCTTCTTGAAATTTTATTTCTTCCGGGATGATGTAATAAACTATGATCATTTTGTTTAAGGTAAATAAACTACCTGTTCCTTTAAACACCGACTGGTTGGAAGCTGAACAAAATCCCACATCGTTAAGGGGATACTAAGGCAAATGGTATTTAAAATAGAACCGCGAGATAATAGGGCACGACCTTACTTGAACAGGATCTGTTCTATAGGCTCGTACCTCTGTATCCTTAAGTTCTAAGGAGACAGGATTCCAAGTCTGGTTGATGAACTGAGGCTGTGTGATCAGAGCGTGATTATTGGTCTGGGTTACTGAATATCGGCTAACCTCGATCGCAGAGGATCGTTCCCAGTTCGCCTTGTCTTGCTGGGATGGTCACACAGTTGTCTGACAGACTGCCCCATTATTTTTTTCTTTCCCAAATTATTACAAGATTGCTACAAGTTGGAACTACGAAAGCTTCATGAGAGAAAGAAGTCTGCATCAATCGATCCAACGGTCTAATGTCCGAAAGAACACAATTTACGACAGCCAAGTATAGAGCTAGGAGGAAAACTCGGAAGGCTTTTGTCTCTCATGCACAGCCAGCTGCCTGATCTGCCAAGCCAATCCATCAACGAAATAAATCCAGATATTTAGAAACTATAAGCTTTCTTCTTCTTCTTCTTCCTCCTCTTGGCAAAATATATTTCGTTGTGTTGAAAGAAACAAGAAAAGGCAGCAATGGATGCCTTTTACAAGAAAAGGCAGCAATGGATGCCTTTACAAGTTAAGCCAGCAAGCTCAGAGATCAAGTTGCCAAGCAGCAACAGTAATTCAATCACTACCCTTCATTCTCTTTCTCTCTTTTAATTTGTTTTTCTGGGTTTCATGAGAATTGGGTTCTATTCATTTGGTTGTTAGGATTGTTGCGGAAGACGGCTATCGGATAGAACAAAATCGCAATTGATAATTTGAGAAAATAAAAATGAAGATAAAAGAGACACAAAATTTACGTGGAAAACCCCTAAAATTATTAGGGTAAAAATTACAGGCAAAGGTAGAAGAATTTCACTATGAGAAAATAGGAATTACAACCTCTCTCGATCTACCAAGGAGAAAACAATGATAATTCTCTCTTGATAAAAAGGAGAAAACAACTCTCAAGAAACTCTCTAAATTCTCTCTAGTATTGGAAGAAAGCTAGAATGCTTTGGGATGATTTTGAAGCTAAATGAGCTAGGGTATTTATAGTTGAAGCTTTAAGGACTAATTTGTAAATACCCTAAATTACAATGACTAATTGCATAGTTTTACCATCCAAAATTTTCAACAATTTGGTGGCCAAATTTGACCAATTTTGCCACCCCATTAATGTCACCAAATTGCCACCCATAATGTTGACAATTGATGCAATTTGGTGTGCCAATTTTCAACAATCTCCCACTTGAAGATTTGATTGGAACAATCATATCTTCACATCATTCTTTCTACCTTGTACCTTTCATGTTGCTTACGTTTCTGACAGGCCACAGGAGGATCGACACCAGGTAAATTTATCAGCATTGATTGCCTTCGTCATGAAATCTGCTATGTTGTCTTTGGTATGGATCTTCTGCATATCTACCGTTCATTCTTCCACCTTTTCACGAATAAAATGGTACTGAACTCGTATGTGCTTAGTCCTTGAATGAAATGCTGGATTCCTTGCTAGATGCAAGGCGCTTTGACTGTCACAAAACAGAGAGACATACTCTTGATTGTGCCCAAGCTCCTCCAATAACATTTTCAACCAAATTGCTTCTTTACTGGCTTGTGTAGCTGCTACATTTTCTGCCTCTGTTGTGGACGTAGCCACAACTGACTGCAATTTTGAAACCCAACTTACAGCTCCACCAGCAACTTTGAACACATATCATGTAGTAGATTTGCTTTTATCCAAATCCCCTGCATAGTCAGAATCTACATACCCATTGATTAGTAAGTTTGATCCTCCGTAACATAATGCAACATTTGAGGTCCCTTTGATGTATCTTAGGATCCTCTTCACAATATTCCAATGCTCTTTGCCTGGATTCGTCATGTACCGACTAACCACTCCCACTGCTTGTGTAATGTCTGGTCTTGTGCATATCATAACGAACATTAAACTTCCCACTGCTGATGCATACGGTACTCGAGACATCTCCATCCTCTCTTCTTCACTGCTAGGACTCATACTGGAGGATAATTTGAAGTTAATAGAAAGAGGGGTAGAAATTGGCTTACAATCTTGCATGCTAAATCGTGACAAGATTTTCTTCAAGTAATTCTTTTGTGAAAGCCAAATCTTCCTATTACTTCTGTCTCGGTGAATTTGCATCCCTAGAATCTTGTTTGCTGATCCCAAGTCCTTCATTTCAAATTCCCTAGCCAGTTGTGCCTTCAATTCTTCAATATGATCTTTGTTGGGTCCTGCAACCAACATGTCATCCACATACAACAACAATATAACAAAATCGTTATCACCAGACTCTTGAAATAAGCACAAGGGTCTGCATTAAGTCTGTTGTATCCAAGGCACATAATGAATCAAATCTCTTATACCAACACCTCGGCGCCTGCTTTAGACCGTACAGAGATTTGTTCAACCTGCAAACCAAGTTCTTCTTTTCTTCTTCTTCAAAACCTTCAGGCTGGAGCATATAAATTTCTTCTTCAAGATTTCCATGAAGAAAAGTTGTTTTAACATCTAGCTGCTCTAGATGTAAGTCCAATGTAGCACACATTGCCAAAACTACTCGAACTGTTGTTAGTCGAACCACAGGAGAAAATATTTCATTAAAATCAATACCTTCTTTTTGAGCATATCCTTTGACCACCAGTCTTGCACGATACCTCTCAACTTGATCGTCACCATTTCGCTTTATTTTGAAGACCCATTTGTTACCAATTGGCTTCCTTCCTTGTGGTAGTGGCACAAGGTCCCATGTATTATTTTTATGAAGGGCTTCGATTTCTTCTTGCATCGCCATCATCCACAGTGAAGCATCTGAGCTGTTTATTGCCTCCTGAAATGTTGATGGCTCACCGTCCTCTGTTAAAAGGCAGTATGCAATATTACCTTCTATAACATAATCTGAGTGCCAATTTGGACGTCTTCTCACACGATCTGATTGACGAGTTGTTGGCTTCAGAACTCTCTGGTTCTTGTTCATCATGTGCTGGTTCTTTAGAAGAATCTCCTTGTTCAAACTCTTTTCCACATGTATCTGAGTAGTCTCTGACTTTTCAGCGCTATCATCGTCTTCTTTTCTTTGTAGTTTATCTTCTACAAAGATAACATCCCTGCTGATCACTTTACGGGCAGTGGGATCCCACAAGCGATACCCCTTTACTCCATCAGCATACCCCAAGAATTTGCATTTCCTGGATTTTGGATCCAGCTTTGAAATTTCTTGGGCGTTGTACATCACGTACACAATACTTCCAAATATATGGAGGTTTGAATAATCAACTGGTTTACCAGTCTACATCTCAATTGGTGTCTTCAGCTCTATTGCAGTTGATGGAGCTCGATTCACCAAATAACAAGCGGCATTGACTGCTTCTACCCAGAATGATTTTTCTAGGCCTGCGTCCCTCAACATTGCTCTTGTTCTTTCTAACAAGGTTCTATTCATCCGCTCTGCCACTCCATTTTATTGAGGAGTGTTCGCCACTGTGAACTGTCTTTTGATGCCTTTTTTCTTGCAAAAGTCATCAAATTCTTCGCTTGTGTATTCTCCTCCATTACTGTTCTGAAACACTTGATCTTATTTCCAGAATCAAGTTCCACCCGCGCCTTGAAGTTTTTGAAAGTTGAAAACACGTCTGACTTCTTCTTAATAGTGTGCACCCAACATCTCCTGAAGTAGTCAATAAATGAGACAAAGTATTTTGCTCCACCTAGGGACGTTACTGGTGCTTGCCATACGTCAGAGTGAACCAATTCTAGAACAATTTTGCCTCTAGAATTTGATGTGTTGAATTTCAACCGGTGCTGCTTACTTGTTATGCAATGCTCACACAAAGGAAGTGATACCTTTGTTAAGCCTGGAAGTAGCTTTTGCTGCACAAGGACTTTCATTCCTTGTTCTGACATGTGTCCAAGTTTCTGATGCCATAGCATTGCCGAATCTGAACTACATGAGGCAACAGAGGCTTCTGCTTCTAGCAAAGTCTCTCCCTTCAGCATGTACAAGTTTGTTGCTATCTTTTCGCCTTTCAGCACCACAAGCGCTCCACGGAACACCTTCATGATTCCTTTCCGTGTCTCAATCTTGCTTACATTATTATCCAACAATCCGTAGGATAATAAATTTTTCTTCAGGCTTTTCACGTGCCGTACATCTCGAACAACTTTAATTGTTCCATCATACATCTTTAATTTGATGGTTCCCACGCCAATGATCTCTAAGGCATGATCATTGCAACTATACACAGATCCTCCTGAGACAGGTTCATAATGATGGAACCATTCTCTTCTTGAGGTCATGTGATATGTTGTTCCCGAATCAATGAGCGATATATCTGTAAATCGTTTTCTTCCTTCCACGGTGGTTGACGCTTCACAGCATAGAGCATCTCCATCATCTGAAGTGTTTGCGGTATTGCCTTGTGGATTGGAGTTTTTATTTAGACTCCAACAATCCTTCTTCAAATGACCCTTCTTTCCACAGTTGTAACACTTTAAATTCTTCTTGCTCCTCGACTTCGATCTACCATGTTTGTGACTGCTGTTTTGACCACGTTCTGTTGCTCCCTCTCATCGTTGTCATCGTTGTCAACGCTTCTGTTTATTGCAGATTTACTTGTCTGTCTTCCTTGTTCTTGCGCCGATTTTCTTCTTGTAGAACAGCAGCTGCAACATCATCAAAGACTAGACTAGTGATATTATTGTTTGTCAAGTTGATGATGAGTTGATCATACGAATCCGGTAGACTTTGAAGTAGAAGTTCAGCACGTTCTTGTTCTCATATTTTACAGCTTAAGGATGTAAGCTGAGAAAATAAGGTGTTCAGTGTATTTAAGTGCTCCGTCACTGAAGTAGATTCTGGCATACGGAGAGTGTACAATTTCCTCTTAAGGAAAATTTTATTGTGCAGCGATGTGGCCTCATACAATTTGGTGAGATGATCCCATATCTCCTTAACTGTCTTCTTCTCCTCGATGCTTGACAATACTTCATCTGCTAATGCTAGATGAAAGTTTGCCATAGCATTCTCGTCCATCTCGTTCCATTTGATGTCTGCGAAATCCACCGGCCTTTCATTGATAGCCGCTAGACACCTGTCTTTCCTTAGGATGGCCTTCATCTTCAATTTCCACAATGAGAAATTTCTCCCATTGAATTTTTCAATATCAAATTTCGTTGCCATAGCTTCTTTTACGGATAGCTCCCACTATTTCACTATCGTGAATAGTTCTCTGGAACCTTCAAAGAATGGGTAATACCTTCTTACTTTCTTATGTTGGAGGATCCACCTTTTGGTGGCAACCACAAAGACAATAAGCAGATATTACACACTCAAATCTGGCCCGGATACCAATTGTTGCGGAAGACGGCTACCGATAGAGCAAAATCGCAACTGATAATTTGAGAAAATAAAATGAATATAAAAGACACAAAATTTACGTGGAAACCCCTAAAATTATTAGGGTAAAAACCACAGGCAACGGTAGAAGAATTTCACTATGAGAAAATAGGAATTACAACCTCTCTCGATCTACTAAGGAGAAAACAATGATAATTCTCTCTTGATAAAAAGGAGAAAACAACTCTCAAGAAACTCTCTAAATTCTCTAGTATTGGAAGAAAGCTAGAATGCTTTGGGATGATTTTGAAGCTAAATGAGCTAGGGTTTTATAGTTGAAGCTTTAAGGACTAATTTGTAAATACCCTAAATTATGACTAATTGCATAGTTTTACCATCCAAAATTTTCAACAATTTGGTGGCCAAATTTGACCAATTTTGCCACCCCATTAATGTCACCAAATTGCCACCCATAATGTTGACAATTGATGCAATTTGGTGTGCCAAATTTCAACAAGGATAATGGATGAAATCTAGGTAGGTCTAAGGTATATGTTTCATGAACTAAATATTGAATTGTGGACTTAATTCAACTGTGTATTAGCTAGTTCCATTACAAATTCGAAGTCCCTTGAGTTCAATTATTTGACATTACCCCGAAGTTACTAACATATGGAAGAGAGTACATGTAGAGTTTCAACAAGTTTTTGTTATTGCAAAGCTTCAACCTTTACCTGAAAGATGAGTGATCTGCGAGGTGGGTAGTGCTATGAAACGATGGATGAGTGTTGATTGAATTAAGTCCTCAATTAATATCTTATCCTATTGAGTTTAAAATAATTTTTTTGCAGGCTGTAATAAAGCAATTCGAAGTCCTATCATGAAATTATGTCTAATTGAAATAAATAACATATATTTTGGAGATGAAACCATTTACTCATGACCAACGGGTTGGTTCAAGTGGTAAGCAGCCGACTAAAACCAAATGTACGACCCGGATCGATCCAGATTAATCAAGGTGAAGCCTTGAACTAGAGGGAAATAAAAAAAATCTTTTAGTCATGGTTCTCAATCTTTATGATAACCAGGAACCAAGTTCTCTGAAGAATGCTGCCGATATGGAACCGAGAACAGTGATAACATCAACGAAAATATTCTTGCCAAAGCTGCAGCTATTTATGGTGATGGCCGTAAACATGTAGAGAAGGAGCAAGATGATTATATTATGCTGTATCCCAACAAGTTGACGTTTATTGGAATTTGTATGTAATGTGTTTTGAATTTTTCATGTTACAAAATATGTTTTAGTTATAGTAATTGTAAACACATTCAATCCAAAACAAGTATGAGTATGATGCTTTCATCGGACTCCTTTTTAAATGTTATGTGACTACGGAATGTCCTGTTTCATAATCCAGTGAAATTTGTCCTACTGCATGCTTTAGTTAATTCTTTTGAGAATAACTAGTGCCGCTAGAAGCATGATCCGTCTGTTTCGAAATACAAAAGGTCATGGATCCCTTGAGAGCAATGACCGTTGGTGCTCCTTTGGAAGATGCTCGTCATCTTGCTCAACGCTAGAGTCGAATGAGGCAGGAATCAGAGGCCCTGGTAAGTAATTATACGAGCTCTCGGTGCACTATTTCCTATACATTAAACATCAGTTTAAGTTCCCCGTTCTTAGGATTGCTTTCAGATCTGCATAATCGATACTAAATATGATTAATAAACAGGCAGCAGAGATTTCTAGAAGACAAGCACGAATAAGAGAAGCTCCAATAACAGAAAACGGCGCAAAGTTGCATGCTGCTGAAGCGAAGATGCAGGAACTTAAAGCAAATATGGCAGTTCTGGGTAAAGAAGCTTCTACTGCATTGGCTGCAAAAACCGACTTTACAAAGGCTTGTAGCTATGGTATTCAGGCCCATCACTTCTATATATACTGTCTCCGAATTGAAGCATGTCTTAATTACATATCTATTTAAGATTCATATTAAACTTTAAACAATTATTATGAATTTAAAATTAATAAAATAAAATATTATAAATATAAAATAATTCTTTTAAGAAGTAATAATTCTAATATAATTTTGTACTTCTAATAATTAATTAAATTATTAAAAATAAAAACTTTTGATCATAATAGTTTAGGGTGAATATAAAAAAGTACATGTCGAGAATTTTTTTAAACAATTTTTATTAGGGGAAGGGAGAGAGGAATTTAACTCGTAATGAGTATTAAACTCATAATCTAGGAGAGAAAGGAGATATCAACTAAGAATTTTTAGGCATATGCTCTTGAGATTATGATATGTTAAAAAATTTCTTAATTAATTGACAGTAAGAATAAATACATTCTACACAGGTACGGACGTGAGATATTATGTTAGGGGACGAACTTGAAGTTATAAAATTTTAGGAGTCGAAAACAAATTTTCAATAAAAAATATAAAGAAAAAAAATCTAAAATACATTATAATTTTAGACTTTTAGGGGTGACCTCCCCACCCACCCCGTCTAGGTTTGTCTCTGATTCTATAAACATAACAATTCGAATATAAAATTTATAAAAATAATATTTTTTTAACTACTAATAAAATTTTCAATACAAAATATAAAGAAAAAAAATCTAAATACATTATAATTTTAGACTTTTAGGGGCGACCTCCCCACCCACCCCGCCTAGGTTTGTCTCTGATCTATAAACATAACATTCGAATATAAAATTTATAAAAATAATATTTTTTTAACTACTAATATTACTCGTTGGATTCAACACCGGCATGTTCCTTGCTAAAAAGATAGTCATGTTTTGAAGCATGTTTCCATCAATGCTTAGTGGAGAAATCCAATTTGCAAAGCGCTGAGACTAAGCAATCAGTGTTTGATATATAAGGAAACAAAAACGTGTTTGTGTCTATATGTTTCATGATGTTACTTTTTGCATTTTTTGTTGTTATTTTTCCTCTTCACATTCTTATAATCTGATAAGTTTAAATGTTTAATTTTTGGGTAAATTACACCGTTCCTCACTGAATTTTACTATCTCTCCTATTCATCGTACTTTCAATTTTTTTATTTTGCTCAATAAACTTTACGAACTTAATCATTTTGCTCACTCTGTCGTTAACGTTTTAACAGTGTTATGACATGGCACAAGCATAAAAATAACGTCGTTTTGAACAACTCAAATATACACCAAAATGATGTCATTTCGAATATTCTTCTTTCCCCCTATTGTTGTCGCTAGCCACCACTTCATTTTTCATTCTGGCCAATGTCGATCGTAGTTAATGGTGGCCGTTCGGCCCCAAAATTTATTGGTCGGTTCGTCTCGACCCCCTGAGTCTAAATCCGATGGTTGTTTCACCGAAAAATGTTCTAAAATTAGTGAATCACGACTTAAATGTTTCGGCTTCCTCACTTTCAATCTCCGATTTGTGGACTTCGAAGCAAGTTCCAACAAATGGAGGTTGGATTCAAACTCATGGTATTAAGACGAAGCGACCCATGAATTTGGGACCGAACGGCCACCAACTACGGCGGTCGACGGTGGCATCTAACCACCTTCTATTTTTATTTTATAGTTGGGTGAACAAAATAGAAAAGAGAGTAAAGTTACGGTGTAATTTATCATTTATATTTTCAATTATTTTATTTTAAATAATAATAAAATGACATGTCATCACACCGTTAGAGAGATAACAACAGAGTGAGCAAAATGATTTAACATGTAAAGTTTAATGAGTAAAATAAAAAAAATTAAAAGTAAGGTGAGTAAAATAGGAGATAGAGTTCAGTGAGGAATGATATAATTTACCCTTAAGTTTGTATGCACAAGATATAAAATTTTAGGGTAAAGTATAAAAATATTTTTATCATTAAAGATTATTATTTTGCTTAGTCTTTTAATTATTAAAATTTATAAAATGATATTTCAACTATAAAATATTATTTAATGGAGTTTCTCGACTATTAAAAGTTACAAAAACAATCACCGATTATTTATATGTTTCAAACTCATCATTTTTCATTAAAAAATTAACAGACATCTAAGCTGAACATTAATATGCTGATTGAGATATAATAAAATCATATTTTAATAATATCTATTGTCATTGATGTTGCTTCCAAATACTAGTTCGACGACTTAATGTTTCAAGTATTGGTTTGATGGCGCCATATAAATAGATAGTCAATACAAAATACAACTCAAACAGTTAACAAGACAAGATTTTATCATATCTCATTCAACAGTTTAACATCCAACTTAGAAAACCGTCACTTTTTAACAAAAAATGACGAGTTTGAAATATATGAATAATTAAGTGACTATTTTGTAACCTTAATAGTCAGAATGACTCAAGTGTCTTCTAATTCAATGATCATTTTATACATTTTAATAGTCGAGAGATTTAACAAAACAATATCGTATGGTTGAGAGACCATCTGTGTACTTTATCTAAAATTTTATACGGAAACGAAATTATAATATTTTAGAAAAATCAATTTTTAATTTTTTTAAAAAATATATAAAATTATTTGAAATATATAAAAGTTTAACCTGACAAATCATAAAATGTTAAATTTGCAGTTAGAAGAAAGAAAAACAAAAAGAAAAAAAGGAGACTGCGGCGGGCAACCAGATAGGCTCAGCACTCAGCAGCCACAGAGCATTCATACTGCTTTCAAAACAAAACGGCACCAACAACAAAAGACCTCGGATACGCAATTTATTACAGGTAAACTACATTGATAGTCACTTAATTATGGACTAGGTTCTATTTAGATCATTTTCAATTAATTTTATTAACCATATCATTTAATTGTTTAAAAATATATCAATTAAATCAATTTTCGCTAAAGATTAACGAGAATACTGACATGATAGTTAAACAAATTTATATCATTATACATTTGATCTCCATTACTTACATATTCTATTATCTTAGTCTTAATTTTATTTTAAGTCAATAAATTTAATCTCACAATTATATGGTGATGTCTCATCATATCCTATTACAACAAAATTCACCGCTCGGTTAAATGTTATAATGTTAATGACAATTTATATCGTTTAAATAGTTAAGTGACTCTTTTAATAAAATTAATAGATCAATAGTCAAATTAGAACTCCTCCTATAATTAATTGACTGTTCGAGTACTTTACCCTATACTATATTACACAAAATTTACATTCCCACCCCTTCAAAACTTCATATTTCTCTTTCATCGGGACTAGTGCAAAGTCTAAATCTTTTGTCTTTCTTAACATCTGTACTCCAGTTTTAAGCTTTTGTATACCCAAAACTCGAGTATTTTATTTGCCTTAAACCCATTTTATTTTTAAGTTTAAAGCTATCGGCTTTGCCTTTCCTCTTAAACGAACTTTAGGGTTTAAGATGTTCTCGGCTACGGGGTCTGAAGTAGCCTATTGGGGCACTGGTGTTTTGCTCATGCCGCTACATTTCCCTGGGAGCTTGTTTTTGCCACAAAGGTTTCTCCTTTTCCATCTTTTCATTCTCTCTTAGCTGTGTGGGTGTAGATTAGCTCATTTTCATTGTTTTTCTTGTCATTTTTGTGTACGCTATGTTTTTAAGAACAATTGTTTGCTCCGACCAGGTAGTTCTCCTTCTCTCCTCCTCGGCTGCTCCTCCTCCTTCTATTCTGTTTGCTCTGTTCTGCCTTCTTCTCCGGATGAACAATTGTTTTCAGTTTCCTTCGTAACTAGGATAGTAACAAGTGTGCATATAGAAGTAATGTATTATCAAGTATGGAATACGGATGTGTATATCGTGGGAAACCATGTATGTAGGATGTGTCCCTAATGATTCTATGATCAAAATGCGCACATAGAAGTATGGAATAAAGATGTGTGTATTGTGGTACGTAGGATGCGTCCCTAATGATTCTCTGGAAAAGAAAAGGGAGATTTTTGTTGAATGTATGCGAGAGTTCATGAAACTAATTGGTGGACGAGATAAAAATAGATCGGAAGTGGGCTGTGCAAAGAATGTCCCCCCCCCCCCTAATGGTACTCGTAATGACCATTTTTAAAGCTTTTGCTTCACAATTTTCATTCTCCCTTACCCGACCGAATCCTCGGCCACTAGAGGTTCTTCAATCATGCTGAGTCCCTACTTGAATCTCCTTTGGCGTGCCCCAGTTTCATTCCCTACCTCTGACTATTAACTGGTGAACCAAGTGGTTGAGCCGATTGGATGTCGGTGTGGATTTTAAGTGATTCTATAAAAGGGTATGGAACGGTGTTAGTTTTAAGCATTTCTACTCGACGGGAATTTACGGGTATGCTTCCTGAAAGGGAGAACCTTGAATGAGATTGTGAAAGGATGAAGCGCTTTATGGCTTTAAAGTTATACCTCTTCGCTTTAGCTTTGTAAAACTTTATTAGATAACATATTGAAATGAACCTTGTGATAGTGACCAGAAAAATCTTGTAGGATCATGAAGTAGTTTGGTGTGATATTTGAATCTTGTAGGATCATGAAGTAAGGCTTTGCAAACTTCGCTTATCTAATGCTGGCTTCGTCTGTTAATCCTAAAACTTACGTCATTTTGTTGTTATCTCCGGATGGGTCCGATTTTACATCTTTTCCATTTTCCGGTGTCATCTTCCCTTTTTTACTGTCAAAATGCAGCCATCTTTAACGAAGTTGCATAAGTTTGCTTATTGTTGTGTTTGCTTTACAATGTTAGGTCCGCAGACAGCGCAGCCGATGCCTGCTAGCGGGGTTATGTTACTGGTCCGGCATAAGTTGCAGAAGACTTACGTATGCAGCGTATTGTTGGAAATCATGGATTGACATTACTTCCGAGTTTGGAATAGGGAATGAAGCCATTGGTCCTTTTAGCATAGGATAAAATTTATTGTAAATTATATTTATCGAATCTTGAAATTATTTGGATTATGGAACTATGCTGCTGCTGTCATTCGTTCACTTATGATTTTAATGTTATTCTGCTCTTGCTGTTGTATTTTCTTCATAATTGGTATAATATTAAAATTTATCAAATTGATTATATAAGCAAATGATGTAAGTAAATATATTTAATTGATTATATGTGTTAAACTAATAAGTTATATTATGAGGATTGTTTTATATGTAATTTTTTTTAATAATCGTAAATCTAAATATAGAATTCATAGTTTATCATGTTACGGGGAGTAACTCGTCAATATTATGCTGTTCTAATGCACATCGTTATGGAGTATTTTTTTTTGGAAAATTATGTATTTAATACTTAAATTATCAGTTTTGGTTCGTTTTAGTACTTCAACTTTCAATTTTCCCAAAATTATACGTAAAGTTTAGTTTTTGTTTCATTTAAGTACCTCTGTTCAAAATTTAAAGTTAAGTTTTGAATTATTTTTTGAAAGTTTAGGTACTAAAATGGACTAAAATTGATAATTTAGGTATTAAACACGTTAAGTTTTTAACGGTAGGGTTCTTAAAGGAAACAAAAAACTAAATGGAATGTATGATTTTGAAAAAGTTAAAAGTTTAGGTATTAAAATTGGTCAAAATTGATAGTTTAAGTATTAAATGCGTAGTTTATCTTATATTTTTGATAATATGAAGTAATTATAAAATAGCATTTGTTTAGAATCTTTCTTAATCATTGATAATACACATACACTATACAGAGTCCAAACACAACTAGAGATGGCAATGAGTCAGGTTTTGTTTTTGACTAACTCGATCTGACTCAAAAAATATATACCCTCCACTCGAACCTAGCCTAAAAATATATACTTTCCACCTAACCCAAAAAATATATGCCATCCATTTGAACCTGACAACTCAATTTTTTGGAGTATAAACCAAACTTGATCTAACCAAACCTAACATAAATTAAAGACATAATTAAAAAAAAGGATAAACCACACCAGATACAATCAAACTTTAAGCGTTGACTCGTTTATATCATCATTTTTTTAATTTTGTCAATTTTGACACTAATGTTTACTTTTAAGTACAATTATGTCACTTCGTCGTTAATGATCTAACGGGATGATGACATGACAATCGTGCGTCGTGATGTTTCTGACGTGACTACCTCACCAAAACGACTTCATTTTGGCATGACTTGTTCGGTGCTAAAAAATCCCAAAACGACGTAGTTTTGTTTGAAAAATTTTGGTAAAATTCCAAAACAAAAACCCTAAATCCAAAAAAATCCCAAAACCCCTTAAGTTCTTGAAAATCTAAAAAAACACTAAACTCTAAATTACAATCCTTAAATTCACCCACCATCATGTCGATAACACGTTGTTACTATCACACTAAAGCCTCCTATCGCTATGCATGTCATTCGCCATTTTCTAGTCGATCGATCATCATTCATGGTTTGATTAAAATATTTCACATTCAATATTTAACGATTGATTAGCACATCATTCACTGATTTCCAGTGACAACAGAGTAGGGTAATTGGTGGTAAGGGTCTAACAACAGAAGTAGTGGGCAGTGGTTGTTGATTTGGTGACAACAATGGATGAAATTATGGATTTGGTACTTAGGGCATTGGGTTTTGGGGGAATTTGAGAATTTAAAAAAGTTAGGGTTTTTTTTGAAAATTATTATTATTTATTATAAATCATATATACAATAAAATAATATAAAAATAAAAAATAATATTAAATAAATGGTATTAATTCAAACTGTTGTTTAACATATATATTAGTTTTGTTAAAATTATAATAAGTTCTTAATTTAGCTTGGTGGTTGGTTACTCCTCGTTCGGTCCAGCAAATCTCTCGTTTAAATCCTATGGAAAGTATTTTTTCTATCAATAAAACGATGTCGTTTTGGGCTTTATGAACATAAAAAATAGTCGTGCTAGAACGACATCGTTTTGCTGAGATGGCCACATCAGTAACGTCACGGCACACGAAAATCATCATGTTAGATCATTAACGACAGAGTGACATAATTGCATTTAAAAGTAAACATTAGTGCTAAAATTAGCAAAATTGAAAGTTTGTTGGTATAAACGAGACAACGCTTAAAATTTTGTAGTATATGGTCTAGTTTACCCTTAAAAAATTATAGAGAGGAGTACTATAACAATTATTTATAAATTATATGAAAAATTACTTTATTATCTCTCGGTCGGGTCACAAGTTTTTACCCTCAACCGAAATTTCACTCGACCCAACGTAATATATAAAACACGACTCGAACCTGACCTGAATACTATTTCTTTACAAGCCGACCATATTGTGTTGGATTGGGTTGAACCCTCTAATGCACATCTTTAGAAATACTGTTTTAAAAGACTTAATAAAAAAATCCTAAACTATATATTTTTTATTTAGGTGACTAAACTTTTTTCGTCAATAGAGATGTCTAATGTTTCACTATTTTATGTGCTTCAACCATATCAGACGTTAAAAATAGTTTAATATAAAAATAAGTGTCCAAATTATATCTAAAGTTAATTTTAGGTGTCTAAAGAATTTTTCAGTCAATAGAGGTGTCTAACATTACTACTTTTTTAAGTGTCTCGACCATAACATACGTTAAAAATGTTTTAATGTAAAAATAATTGTTCAAACTATATCTAAAGTTAATTTTAGGTGTCTAAAGAATTTTCCGTTTAAAATATGTCTAACTTTTCTAACATTACACTCGTAGGTGATTTGATTGCATCGTAATGACCATTAGAAAAACCATTAGCTACACATGTGATATTCATTTTTTTAATTTTCTAAAAAATAAAAAATATTATTTATATTTTTAAAAACATTTTTAATTAAAAAGAACCTAATATCCATCCCAATAGGCGCTAAGCGTTGTGAACAACCCCCACCCCAAGGAGCGCCATTTTCCATTTCTAGTAGTCGTCGACATCTTAGGCCACCACTTCGTGCCCAAAAGGCCACCGACTGATCCAAAAATTAAGAATAGTCCAAAATTTTAATATTTTTTTAAAAATAACATGTATGTATATTTTTTTATTTTATTTTCTTTAACATATTAAACTAAATTTCACATTTTTTTTAAATAATGGGGATGCACGTGCCCCTTAGTGACTTAGTGCATCCACTCCTGCCATCGACCTATCACCGATCACCCCAAATCCTTAAATATCTGAACCCATAAATATCTAATCTTAATTTTCATCCTAACTAGGGGTGTACAAAAAGATTCGATCCAAAAATTCAGGTATCTGATCCATTTTTTTTATTTTCAGATAATTCAGATCAAATATCTAAAAAAAAAATTCTTATAATCAATAAGATACAAATCAAATAAATTTCAATTTTAGATTATTCGAAAATCTGAAAAATTAGGCTCTAATCCACTGATCCATTAAAACTCTAGCCCAATAAAAATTAGAATTTTTAATTATTTATTGTGTATGAATAATTAAATATATATAAAAATATAGTAGAAGTATCGAATAAGTTACATGATTGGATATTTAATTATTTAGTGTATGAGTAAAATTTAAAATTAATTTTTAATGATGCTTGGAACCTGTTCAAAAATGAGAATAATCTGACTGGCGTCCTTGGATGAATCTGGTCAAAATATGTAATGATCCATGTATGTTGTCTATTCCTCTCCTTGTCTTTAATTGGGTGTACATGTACTTGAAGGTTCAAATCCATTGTAATGGTGCATGAATTAATTGAATGGGCTCTTGTACATGCTTTGACCAGTTGCATCCAGTTCATCCCCTTTAGCCGTCTAGATGAATGTACTTGTCTCTTGGTATGCTTATGACTCTTCACATGGTTGAGAGGTCTTGTACCTATATAAATCATGGAATTATGGATAAGCTATCTTAACATAATATACGTCTAAAATAAATATGCAAATTATATGCAAGCTTAATTTAACAATGTGAAACATAATAAATGCATGAATTAAGCTAAGTAAAGATGTGATATGTATGAATATCATATAGAGTGCAAGTAAGTGACAACATATGAATATTCATGCATAGATTAAGTATGTTTATGTCATATGCAATACATAAATAAGTAAATAAGCAAGGAAATAAGACAAAACTCCTTAGAATCAACTTGGAAGAACTTTAAAGTTGTGATCATGTTCCGATTGAATTTGGTGCTTGACAGAATCACATCAATTATATTTTTTTGATTTTTTAACAATAAAATACTACTTGTTGGCTTAATACAAAAATAAGTGTCTAAACTATACCGCTTTTTTGACTCATCTAGGTGTCTAACATTACGAACGTTACCACTTTAGGTGCCTTGGTCATAACGACCGTTAAAAAACCCGTTAAGTGACACATGTCAGAATATGGTAATTTTGAAAATTTATTTGAAAAAATAGCTTAAAATATTTTATTTTTGAAAAAGCCTCAATTTTTTTTTTCTAAAATATAAAAAACCCAAACTCCATTAGTCTCTTATTCTAGTCCTCTTTACTTCAACTGTTAGTCATCTCCAGCCACCTATTCCCCGACGACCGATCACTCATACGTCGCCAACACCCACTAACCTATCATAACCCTTGTTATCATCTCAAAACCCAAAATTTGGTCGATCATGGTAATTGATCTTTTATCCTACAATGGCAGTCGACCCCTTGGCCATTTGATTGGCCGTTTGAACTTTGGCGATTTTGTTAGAGTATGCTCAAAGACCAATCATATGATGATTGTAATAATAATTTTATTTACCGATTTTATTGAATAAATGCATTGCCGCTATTATTTTCATTTATATATATGTGTTTAACATAAACTGAAAGATAATAAAGTCCATATAATGACATAATTGTTATTATTAAAAGATTCCTAGTCAAGTATTATTATGGGCATGGACAATAATAATACGCTTAAGACTAACATGTTATTGATTGATGACAATGAGTTGTCATTGACATAGAGATGTCAGAATTGATACATGATTATATTGTTAGAGAACAATGTATTGGATTGACCGACCATGAACATATGTCTTGGATTATTATGTGACAGTCATAACATTGTTCATGGTGA